TTTTTTTTGTGTAGATGACATTGTGATTATAGGGTCTAACTCTCAATTGATTGAGAAGCTCCAACGACGTCCCTGTACTACTTTCTTGGATTAGAGGTCCAGCATTGTCTATCTGGCACACTCTTGCATCAAAATAAGTATACATAGGAACTACTCTTACTAGTAGGTCTTGAGGATAGTAATTCGTTTCTTACACCTAGGGAGATCAATTTGAAGTTGCGCCAAGAGGGTGGTGGTTTCTTATTTGATCCCTTAATGCATCGGCAGCTTGAATTATTTGGCCATTACCAGACTTGATATTTCCTTTGCTGTCCAACAAATCAGTTAATTTATGCTAGCACGTTTCATACTCATTTGGATACTATTCATCATCTTCTTTGGTACCTCAAAGGTACCTCTGGCTGCGATTTGTTCTTACGGTTTGGGACTTCTTTGCAATTGGTGGGATTTAGGGAGGCAGATTAGGCTGGTGGTATTAATACTCGTCATTCTATCACTGTTTGGTGTAGGTTTCTTGATGGTGTCCTTATTTCTTGGAAAAGTAAGAAGCAAGGTTGTTTTTTGAAGTCTTCCATCAAGTCTAAATATCTAGCCATGTCATCAGCCTGTTCTGAAATCATTTGGCTTCATGGCTTGTTGGGCGAAATTAGTTTTCCACAACTAACTCCTACTTCTTTTCATGCTGATAATATGTTCCATGAGCATACTAAGTATATTGAGGTAGATTATCATTCTATTCTTGAAGTGCTTGGACTTCATGAAATTTCCCTCCCTCACATCTCCATAGAAAACCAAACAGCTGATATATTTACCAAAGCTTTAGCCATCAGTTTATAGTTGACAAATGGATGCTTCTTGATGGCCCATCATCAATTTGAGGGGAGATGTCAATGAGTTGTCCGAGATTCTGAAGTAGAATATTTGATTATATTTCTTAAATTAAGAAATTTGATTTTACATAATTTTACAATTCCTAGAATCGGAGATTTCATTGTAATTTACCATAATTAGATAGCTGTAATCTTCCATATAAATGATACATAGAACCTCAATTCACAGGCATTTGAAGGAAATCAAAGTTAAACATTTTCATCTCTGTGTCTGGTGGAGCATTGACATTTACAGTTCCCCTACTATATCCTTTCTACGTCTGTGTTACAATTATGATGTCTGACTTTAATTATTACTTTAAAACTTTTGGTTTTGTTTGCTTCTTTCATGTGAATGTGATTGTGTTGTAATCCATGTTGTGTTTATTAACTGAACTTCGAATGAATATGGACCCAGTTCCATCTCTATGATAGGTGGATTTTGAAGTTTATCTTAGACCATTTCTCCTGGTTTTTTGGATTGTTCAGAATGAACATTTCACAGAGTTAAAGATGTTCCAAGCACAAATTGCAATGAAGAGCATCCCAGACACCTTTTAGCAGTGAAGAGAGAAGCTTAAACAGAGCTCGGGAAAGAGCGAAGAACCAAAAAAAAAAATATACTGATTACAACATAGTGCTTTTAGATTGTTGATATTTTTGGTGCTGGAAAGTGATTAATATATTAAACATGTCTAAAATTTTGAGTAAAAAGGAAAAAGTAAATGGGATCTTTGTTCTACTGCGAAGCTGACATCTTTTGATGTTGCAGGCAATTGTATCTGATGAAGATGGTATGGAGTCCATAGCCCATAGATTCCTTTCTGCAGCTGTAAAGGTATGGTTTTATAGTGATTGGGGATGATCCAGAAAAAGGGGAAGGCAGAAAATGTTCATATATATATGGGAGTAATAAAAGTCTAAAATAACTGGGAGTAAATACATGTAGTAATCTGGTATTTGGTTGCAATTCTTTGGTACATGTAACTTTTATTCTTTTGATGCATTTATTTTGCCTCCGTTTACATTGAACACCCCCAAATGATGAATACCGTATTTTAGTTGTAGCCACTTTTGATATACTTGAGAATTGTTTTGCAGCTAGACCGAAAACCGTCCAAGTGTATTGTGTTTGAGGATGACCCCAGGGCAATAACTGCTGCTCATAATTGTACAATGATGGCTGTAGCATTAATAGGCGCTCATCCAGCGTATGTATTCACACCTTGCTCGGGTTATGAAATGATCATAAGCTTATATTTACAAGATTCAGATAACAAAGTGTACGAGTTCATGAAAAAAATGTTAATGCTTTTCTTGACACGGGATTGAATTATTTGCCCTTTTAAACTCTGGCCCTCTCCCTTGAATGATAAAATGGGTATTCATTTTAGTGTACCTCTTGTATTCTTTAGTGAATATTGAATTCTCGAGTTTAAACTTGCAGGTATGATCTTGGGCAGGCTGATCTTGCAGTTGCGAGCTTTAACGAGCTTTCTGTGATAAATTTGCGGAGATTATTTGCTCACAAGGGTTCAACTTTCATGGAATTAGAAAAGCAGATGATAGAGATAGAGACAACTCCTTCGCGAAGAAAGCTCAGAATCGACACTATTTTCTGATTTGCACCCAATACCATTTTTCTCTTCTCCGTCTCTCTTCATTTGATTCCTTTTAAATCTGTAACAAGGGGTAGATCATTTTATGATCTCTTTTTCTCTTGGCCTTTTTGCATATTTCTTTCTTTT